TGTGAATCACCCTGTGCATTTTTGAAGCTTTAGTTGTATTTAATTGACATAAATAATATCAATTATATAATCAAATCTATCATTAGAACAAAGAGTTGTGAATTAGTTTGAAAGACAATATATCAATTACACTTTCTCAAAACAACTGGCTGGCTCAAAAGTAATGACAGCTTAAAAAAAATTGTATCTTAAACGTAAGCCAGTAAGAAACATCAAATTAAAAAAAAAATATTTCATTTTATAGAGAAATAAAAACTTTATTATATCAGGCTATATGGTTGTGTTCGTGACGGACAAGCCACTTTGAATATACTCGAACATTTTTGAGTTTGTCCAGTGATATTTTCATTTATTATTTGTTTAGTTTATGTTTTGTTCAAGAAATTAAGTGTTTTTGTATTGCTTTTCCTAAATTACTGAAGGGGCCATCTAGTATATTAATGATTTTTTGCTTTTATTTTAATTTGAATATTAAAACACCATGCTTATTTCCTTGACAATTAGGTGGAAGGCATGATATCATATAACATAACTTTCCATTATTATTGACTGTTCGATGGTTTTTACGGAATTAATGTAAATCCCTCCTAAATCGTCAATTTTAATGGCTTTCGAATCCTGATCTAATTTTTAAACATTTATATTTTACCAAAATTGACCGACCATCGAAAATGTGCGAGACATGTCAAATTTGACCCAAGGGTACTATGAGCATCTTGAGTATTTCCGTAACGTTTTGTTATTACTTATGGGAGCCATACATGTATAAGTACTGTGGTTTTATAGATACCGAATACTTAATTTTTTTCAAAAAATCAAAAATATGATGACGAAGCGACAAAACTCAAACTAAAGTTCATAAAAATAACAATTATTTTTTGGCATGTATATTTTTAATTTGAGCACACAATTTCAATGGAATTTTGTTGAAAAGAAATCGAAAATCCTAATTGTGATGTATTTATCGCGTTGCCCTCGTATACGAAAAACAGTAAAAGTCGCAGGGTGATTCCAAGGCCGCGCAAGATTTGCATTAGTTATCGTCAGTGTTGACGTTTCGAGCCCAAACCGGCAACATTGCTGTATAGGAACATAACCTAAATTCAGTTATTCGCCCTGTTTCTTTAGTGTATTCGCAGCAGTATTTTTTAGTTTTCGGCCCTTCACAGGGTCTCAGATTGAACTACAATGTGTGATAGCCGTGTGTGAAAGGAGATTATAGTGTTAACAACGAAATTTTCCCAAAGTTCTATAATATTAATAAATAGAGCCTAACCGAAATTGAAACGTCATGGCGGAGAATCATCTCAACTTGTTGAAAAATCAGCAGGAAAACCATGAATTTAGCGATATGGATTATGAGAGTTATAAACATCAGGTGAGAAGTAAGTGGCAAAGGGGCTTCAGGGATTGTCCATAAAATTTGCCAAATCATTATTTGCATCTTTGGACTACTTGATCGATTTTCTCCGATGCTGTCACCTAGTTTTTCATTCCAATCCAGCGGTTCTCGTGTTTTTTTTCTCTTATGCAACTGGATTGCTTAGGATATCTTTGATTTATTTTTACCATGGGCCCTTGGAATATCTGAAATATTTTCTGTAGAACTAACATGGCTGTGGGCATGTTTTTGTCCTGGGTAGTGGGGAACAGCTGATAAGAGCAGCGATGAAATTCTTTGGATATTATTTCGTTCTTCTGGCCTGTTAATGCCGATACATTCTATAAATATCCATGTATTTGTGAGAAGATTTTATGTTTTTTGTAGGTACATAGACGGACTTTGATTTTCAGCGTTTGTTTAGTAAAATGCACTTCTTGTACACATCATGAGATCAGATGAAATCTGGAAAACTCCAACAAATTTAAATGTAACATAAAATATCGTAGATAAGATTACCGAGGTTTTTTATTGTACCCCATCTCATGATTAACTCGTTCAGGGGCAGTAATATTTTCTGAAATTAAGACCTGCATGGGCAAGGGTATAAAATATTTTTAGAGAAAAGATTTGAAGGGTAAAAAAAGATATAAAATAACTTCAAATAATTATATTTTTTGTAACATTAAATAAAAGGATATTGCCATTTTTGTACCGGAGCACTAATACACTACAGAAATAAAACACCCAAAATACTTGAAAGCTCGTTTTGTTTTTGCGTAGACAGCAGAAGGCACAGCGACGTCTTGTGCCCCCCTGTGGATGGTGAGAAATTTCGTTTCCTCTGACTTCATAAGGAACAAAACGTTTCTGCTGGTTAATAGTAACAGGGCAGTTTCTGCAGTCACACAACGTATTAAGTCTCTCCTAAAATCCTTCATTGTCATTTTTGGGAGGTTTAGTTCTTTGTGCGAAACGAATGCTGCAATAAAAAAATGCGATGCCACCATTTACGAGATTTACTGTCAACTATGTATATTCTTCGATTTTGTTAAATTCATATTTCGGTTATAATTTGTCAAAACTTCGGGGCAAGGAATTTTCCCGACCACACCAGTTGCTTTTACGGTCAACTTGACCGTAAATTCTTCAAATGAAAAACTTTGTTGAACACTTCGTCTGTCGCGCCATTCTATAGCAACAAGTTGGGTATTGGGTGTCAATATTTGGGAATTACCTCTTCTAAAGTTCCAGTCGTTCTTGAAATTAGGAAGCAATTTTCCGGTTGCACTGACCGTCCCACATGCGTAATTTTTTTAGCTTTTGGACCTTTCAAGAGCTCCACTACAGTAAAAAAAATTGTAGAATTAAACAATATGATGCTTATCTTCCAGTGTATAGAATATTTTTCACAACCCTCACTCCAAGACATTTGTCCGGGTTTTCGGATGGTCCTGTATACAGGTTTATTCAGATTATACGACACGGAAGATTGCGGCTAAACTATTTAATTTTAAAAAAGTATTATTTTACGGATAACTGGAGGCTCGTTGGGGGTACATTTTAAAATTATTTTCTAATATACAGGGTGTTCCACTTACTAGATTCAACCCAAAGTTGCATTTTTAAATGGAATGCTCGGTATATTATTATCTTATTAGTGTCTGCGATAGAAATAAATGTGAATTTTATTAAGGTTGATCATACTTAAAGCTTACAGTTTCAGGGATATTTGGAGTTTTATGAAAATGTAATCTTTTTGTTTTTTTAGTTTAAATTCTCAACACCCATTTAGCATTTCGAATCCAAATTACCTTGCGGCTAGTAGGTAATAGATGCTGTTTCATGGTAAATTAATAAAAATTCGACTACGTCATACAGGATGTGCCAAAATAGTGTTGAAACAATTGCACGTTTTGAACGGTTATAACTTGCTTAATTTAAATGGGACTCTATATTTTATGACAGGAACAATTGCAAAATTTACTTTTCTATTGAATGCTATAAAGATATCATGTACCTAACTCTTCAGGTTTTCATGGAAATCGCATACTTTCAGAATTTATGCGTTAAATATGGCATTCTATTCAAAATAAAAGTAGAAATAAAATGAAAATTATTATTTTAAGAAACACTCAGCATTCCCATCAATACTATTACCCTATTATACGAGCAATACTATACCGATTGTCTCAAAATAGTGTTCAAGCAATTATTGCAAGTTTTCATCGCTGATAACATGCTTAAATTAAAATAACACTTAGTATTGTCTGCCAAGAGCAGATAAAGAAATTGCGTTAAATATGGTATAATATTTGAAATAAAAGTCCAAATGAAATGAGACACTTATAATTTTAACCCCCAGCTATAATATAATTAATTCATATATTACAACGGCAATACCTAACTTATAATAAGTGTTCAAAATGACGACCGTCTGACTCCACACATAAATGCACTTTTTTGTAAATGCCTCGACAACATTTGACAACATAGCAGTGCTTATATTTTGCAGCAATCCAGTTTTGACAACCACTTCTTCCAATCCAGCGCTGTTGAAAATTAAAATTAAAAAATGCCCGAACCTCGCGATGTGCTAGCGCTCCATCCATTTGAAATCACATGGTTGCTCTAATGTCTCACCGAATATCTTCTAATAACATTGCAAGCTAATTGATTACAAAATCTAAAAACATTTCTCCATTCAAATGTCCACATGTGGCACCACTTGTGCTGATTTTGAATTATTCTAAATTACTGTAGATTTGAACCCGATTAATAATGAAAATTCCACGTTTTTGAAAATCGATAAGGGAAAGTTCTTGATGAAGTTGAATTTGAAATCATGGTAACCATGTTTTTGCAGAATACTTAAGACACTTATTGTTATTATCTTATCTTATATTACTTACTTATTCACCGAATTATGTTGTTTCATTTTTCTGGAAATCTTTCAGCGTACATGCGAGATGCTAATAAACAGTTTTGAAAACATTCTCCCAGAATAAAAATAGTATCAATTCTTTCTGATTTACAGTGAACATTCATTAGTATGTGTGTTTCGTAAGAAACCACTAAGAAAATGAGTTTGCATAGAAACGACGAACTGTCAATTTCAAATAATATTTATATAAATATTTTAGACCTGTTAAATTGCGATACGTGACTCGATGAATTATTAAATTTGATAATATCGGCATGAATCCTGAAAGTATGCGATTTCCATGAAAACCTGAAGAATTAGGTATAGGATATCATTTATAGCATTCAATAGAAAAGTAAATTTTCCATCTGTTCCCGTCATAAAAAGTTATACCGTTCAAAACGTGAAATTGTTTCAACGCAATTTTGAATTTGTATTAATTCGGCATGAATCAATATCTATTACTAGCTGTAAGGTAAAATTTGGATTCGAAATGTAAAATGAGTGTTGATTGATTGACACATCCAAATTCTGATTAACAGGGGCACAGCACTTAAAAGGGGAATAAAGAAGCACTGGGAATACTTGCTTTTGAGACAGCCAAAAAGATGCTCTTTAGTTTACGTGACGATTTGTTTGTTGTTAAAACTTCATTAGTTCGTTTTTATTCTACCAAAATACTGTTTTTGTATACAGGCAGTCTTCCCAACGACATGAATGGTTCTGAGACTCGAGAATTTATAGGGGAAGCTGTTAAGCAGCAGAAGATGAACGAATTAGCATTGATTCCATCTTCTCCAGAAGAAATACCTCAGGACGATTTATCTGCCAGGTATGTTGTAGTGTAAAAATCACCATGTTCGGTATTGGTATAAAATTCCAACCATATTATTATATTAAAATTTTGTAGTTCCTATTACTGATAGCTATTCTTTATTGATTTAAACATCCCAGGAGGGATGTTCTGTGTGTACTAGTGCTTTTTAAGGTAATCTAAGTGCTGTTAGCTGCTGCGTTATCGTCTATTACCTAAGACTAGTGCTGTGTAGTTCGCGAACGAACTAGTTCAACAGATCGAATGAGGGAACTGAACTAGACGATCGAATCTTCTAAATTGAAAGAGCAAATCATTAGGAACTAAACAGAACATGACATTTCATCTCACTCTTGAAGGAGAACGAGACCGATGACGCCGATTGAAGTGATTGAACCAATAGCGCTTCCCTTTACTTCCATGCGGTTTCTTTCAGTTGACGTTGCCGACTTTGCAGTTCATAGCTGGCGATAAAAATAGATGATCCTTGTTGTTCGTATAGTCTCAGATATGTTCTTTCTTCGTTTATTTCATAAAGAAACATAATATGAAGCGACAATGCACGCGATTTRATTGATTCTAACTGATTTTGGCCCTGATTCTATATTAGMAACATGTAATATTGGGTTTGGATTGGTCAACAAAACAATATGACAAAGATGACTGCTCAAAAATTTATCACTCGCACACGTTTATATAGAAAACGTCAGAGAAGATACAGTAAATTAAATCATGTAAATCAAAAACGCCTCCAATCTCCAATAACACAAAGATGAATATATGGACAATAAATCCCGAGCACGAGCAATAGAACACATAGTATAAAACATAACTAAACTATAACTAAAGTTAAATTGACCGTTTATTTATAATATTTTCATTCAATGATGAAAATTAACCTACTGAACTAAACGAACTAATCTTTTGTACTATTCACTTTGCTGACCGAGATTGAAAGATGGAAATCAGCAAGGTGAACTAAACTTTCCAGGTCTACCTAAGACGACGTTAAAAAGCACTCGTACACACAGAACATCCCTCCCGGGATCACAAAATTCCTCACGGTCAACGATATGATAGGAATTATTAAAAAATGCTTTTACAAAACGTGAGCCAGAGTACAAGCGGTTAGCGTTATCGTCGGTGGGAATATAGTAGAACTATTAGAAAAATTAGCAGAGGACACTACTACTACAAGTGACACCAGCAGTGAAGCTACAATTTTCTAGCAAAATATACTAACTTTTGAATTCATAACTTTAGTTAATTTCTGGTATGAAATCTTAAGTTAGATTGATAGTGTGCAGCTCAGATTACAAGATGCTGGAATTTTGGAGAAGCGTTCCATGATMTTGAATCATTAGCGAGAACTAGCCTAAATTCGAGACAAGCTATGTGAAGAGGCAATAGAAATAGCGACGTCTCTTTGTGAAAAATGGGATATTGATACTAGAGAGATATTGAACGGTTATTTTTCGGTAACGGGTTACGACGTTTCAATTTCACCTTGGTAATAGGTTTCAAAATGCGGTTCCAAAAAGAGCATGTTACTTTTTAAATTTTTTTATTAAAAATGCAGAATGATGACGATAGTATAAATAATGATGATATATAATGATTTCCTTTCGAGTAATTACTTAAAATTACTCCTTAGAAGTAACTACTTAAATAACAAAAAAACTGATAATAAACTAGGGTGATTAAATAAGATATACGGTTCATTTAAAAATGAGTTAACATTTAAAAATAAAATTGTCTGCAGATGCTTTTTACTGATTCTAGTTCTGCGCGCGTTCATGATAGCACCCGCTTTAGAAAAAAAATTCTGGCATTTCGTTTCACAATAACATTAAATAATCCACAATAACAACAAACAGCAATGCGTGTTTGGCAAACCTGGACGAAGTATTACTCGACTTAATTTTGGTACCACCAAAAAATTTGTCGACCTTACAACGTTTATTACTATTGAAATAACTTTCATTTCATCTCTGACTGAATTTATATTTAAAAATGGCCAGCTTGCTTAAATGCAGGTGCACATTCTGCTTAAAACGTTTATTATTTTACCTTTCAACTGTGATGGAATTTATGTCTTACACTCTTAGTTTGCTCATTGCTCATATGCAAGTGCACATTCTGCTTAGTTTGCTGGTAATGGGCATTTAACTCCCCAGCTAAGTTTCTTAAGAGAAATCCCCTTTTTAAAGATTTATTTCAGAATGTCAGAAAACTAAATACTTATAGAACTAAAAATACTGAATTATATCATCGCAGCAACTAAACAAATTGTCGCCGGTTCCTGGAGAACTGAACGGTAATTCTTATAAACGAAAAGTGATACGCAATCATCAAGGCAACGCGCAACTACATACAACATATTTTCCGTTGACAAATGGTTACTGAAACTGCTGCAACTGGATAAAGGGAGAGCGCTCAACGGTGCGCATCGGTTCTGTGCTGACGCGAACCACTTTTTCAGGTTTATGAGACGGTTCCAAAAAAAACCTTTARGTCGGCAAACTGATGCAGCTGGTGCGAAGTGCGCACAACTGTTTCTGTTTTATRAGACGRTTTCAAAAAGAACGGTTTAAGTCGGCAAACGGCTGCAGCTGGATAGATCGCTCGACGGTGTCGCATCGGTTCTGTGACGAAGTGCGCACCGCTGTTACGGTTTTATGAGACGGTTTCAAAACAACCTTTTAATCGGCAAACGGCCGCAGCTGGTGCGAAGTGAGCACAACTGTTTCGGTTTTATGAGAGGGTTCCAACAACAACGGTTTAARTTGGCAAGGGGCTGCAGCTGGATAGATCGCTCGACGGTGTCCGAAGTACGCACCGCTATTTGGGTTTTATGGGACGGTTCCAAAAAAAATCGGTTAAATCGGTCAGCTGTAACTACGGTTTCAGGTTACACGTTTGGAACACTGTTATTTTAGCGGTTACGTAAAATGCCGACCATCCGTAATTGGTATAACATATGTGTAAGAAGACGCCGCCAAATGCTCGGAGAATTGGCTAGAGATGTTGGTCTTTCCGCAGAAACTGAAATTTCTCGCGTTTTGAAAAGCGTTCTTGCTCGTCTCCGACAAAAAAATATGTAAACGAAGAAGTGACCTTCATTTCAAATTTGAATTTCTACTTGACGTTGAAAGCTTATTAAACAAGGGTAATGTTGATATATCGATAACGACTTTGAAAAAAAACAAAAAATTTGGGTGAATTTTATAATACAGATTTCAATGGAATATATTTCTTTATCGAAATATGTAACAAAATGTTACTCCACAGTAGAAAAGAAATTGAACCTAAAACTCTTGAAAAACTTGAAATTGAAATTAAAATTTCTTGCTTTTATGATCTCGTATAGAGAAGATTTCCTTCCAAACCGGAGAGTAGCACTTAAAATACTCCTGACTCTCTCAGTATCAATTGCTAGTTGCGAAAGTTCATTCAGCAAATTAAAATTAATTTTGACACAGGTATCTACGATCAACTATTGGACAAGATCCCCTATGTGACCTAGCATTTTTAAGTGAGGAAAGAGAAAAAGATGAAATGATCAACTGATCAATTATTGATAAATTTACTTCATCAAAAGCAAAGAAAATTTAGACATGTTTTATACTCATACTACACTGATGCACAAAATTAGCGCACCACCTATACATTTTCGAATAAATCATTTTTTTCCCAAGTAGGCTGGTAAATGACGTAACCATAGTAACATTGGACAGTACCAATTGTTTTTGGTCCCTTCCCATTCATTCCAGTGTAAGTTTCTACTTGTTTTGTCTCATTTGCAACATCTCATCATTGTTTTTAGCAAGTGTGGTACTGTTTTCGATTCACTTTTCTTGCTTTTTCCTAACTTGTGTGTCGAACTAAAATGTATTCCCATTTAAATGTCATCAGGGAGAAATTTAAGTAATGTTTGATGCGGTCGAAATTGTCATCTTGTTGGAAGAAGGGTATTCAGTATTATTAGTTCAGTATTCGGGTCGCCCACGTTTCATCACACCACCATTGGTCGATGTCTTCAACGTTTTAGTGCAACAGGTTGCCATTCTAGACGACTAGGCTAAGGCCTACCAAGATCCATAAACGAAGTGGACGATCGTTTTATACGACTACAAGCTTTAAGAAATCGGTTTATTACCGCAAATGAGATAAAAAATCGAATTTAAAATTCCCGGAATGTTGCAATTTCTTTCAAAACGATAGGAAGAAGTCTGAATGAATCCGGATTGAGTGCAAAACATCCTGCAAAAGGTCCTCTCTTAACCATAGCCCACAAGCAAGGCTTGATTTTGCTCCAGAACGCGTGGATTGGATGACTGGAAGAAAGTGTTGTTTACTGATGAAGTTAGAGTGGGTTTAAAATCTTCGGATGGGCGAGTTTTTATTTGAAGAAGACCAGGAGAAAGATACAGCCAAGCATAAATGGTTCCCCAACTGGCTTTCCGTGGTAGCTCAATAATGTTTCTTAGGGTGGAATTTTTTTGGAGGCCCGTACGGACCTTGTGGTGATCCGAGGAAGATCATTAACTTCCCAGAAGTAGATTCAAGAGATTTCAGAAAACCATGTCGTACCTTTTGCATCTCACATAGTCGACAATTTTTTGTTTATGTATGATAGTACCAGACCGCACCGAGCTCTGATCGTGCTCAAATATCTTAATGAGGTTGGCATTCAACGTTTAAGGCTCATTTATAAACTTGACGTTTGCGTTCGCCGTTACCGTTTGCGTCCAAATTAAAGTATTGGAATCCATTTATAAACACCGCGGGCCGTTACCGATTTCGTTCAGTGCCGCTCTATTGAACCAATTTAATTTCTTGCCGGTGAACGTTCGTAGAATTCCGTCGAATTTTTAACTTAAAATCTTTGCTGTTGTTATTGAAGGTTGTGAACAAGTTGTTTACCATAATGTTTTCCGAAGAAAGTACAGAGTTAATAGGTATGGTTGGGTTAATTTTGTGTGCTTATGCTTTGAAAATAAGGAGTCAGCCAATTCATTAATTTGTATCAGCTGATTTGGTCCGACCAAATACTAAATTCGGATTGGTAGGTACGTCAGTACTACGGCTGTTCGTTCGTGTGACGAACGTTCTTCTTCTTCGGGTGCCATGTGCTATGCTGCACGTCGGCGATCATTTGTCCATTTCATGGTCACAGAATAGCTAGGGTGCCCTCCTCACCCTGTCTAAAAATGGTTGCGGCGTCCGGTATACCACACTTATTATATTGCGGAGCCAAGAATTGTTTTCGACCTGGCCCCCTTCTACCTTCGGTTTTTCCTTGCAGTACTAGCTTTGGCATGGAGTAGCAGGGTCCTCTCAGTATATGCCCCAGATATGACACTACGTTTTTTACCGTGTCCATTAGTCGTCTTTCTATTCCAGCTCTTCGTAGAACTTCATTATTAGTTGTGTGTGTTGTCCAGGGGATACGAAGCAATCGGCGGAGTGTCCACAACTCAAAAGCTTCGATTCGATTTAGCGTTCTGGCTTTAAGTGACCAAGTTTCGACACCGTACAAAATAATAGGCCATACATTACATTGTACTACACGTATTTCGAGTGTGTAGTGGCATATTTCTGTGAAGAAGTATATTCTTAAGTTTAAAGAAGGTTGTTTTCGCGCGACCATTTCTTCCCTTCGCTTCTTCATCACATTCCCACTTTTCATTCAGAGAAGCTCCAAGAGAGGTAAATTTGGCGACACTTTCAATATTTTCTCCGTTGATGTTGAGAGTGGTAATATGCGGATTTCTGCTAATCACCATCATTTTTGTTTTGGTAGTATTTATATGTAGTCCGAACTTTTCACCACATTCGTTGATTTTATTTAGTTCGTGGATGTGAAGGTCTTGAAGGTTATTAGCGCCAGGATAGCGATATCATCTGCGTAGCGGAAATTGCTTATTGAGACGCCATTGACTTTATACCTCGGGTTTCATTTTCTAATGCTAGTTGGAAGATTTTTTCCACATGAATGTTAAATAGAATGGGTGACAGTACACATCCCTGACGCACTCCCTTCGAAATACCAAAGGTGTCCGTTGATAGGTCGCCATTAATACGGACCTCTGCCAGCTGTTGCTAAAATAATTCTTTATTGTATTAGCAACATCTCCTGTAATCTCTCCAGCAGCGGCCTGTGCTTTACGTTATCAAAAGCTTTTTGAAAATCGATAAAGCAGACAAAAACATCCTGCCTTTGGTCATAGCACTTTTGGACGAACAATTTCGTTGAGAACAGAGCTTCTCTGGTACCAAGTCCCTTGATAAATCCAATCTGCGTTTCACCACTCATATCCTCACACTTTCTCTAGATTCTTGAGTGAATTACTCGAAGGAACGCTTTGAGCCCGTGGCTCATCAGGCTTATGAGTTCTATAGTCTTCGCAATTTCTGGGGTTTGCTTTCTTTGGAATGGCAACAAACGTAGACCTTAATCAATCCCTGGCGATTTGCCCAGAGTCATATATCACGTTGAAGAAATATGTAAGATGTTTGATATTTACTTGCTTCAAAACTTGTGCATATAGTTGTGTAGTGTAGTTTATAGAAAGTGTTCTTAACAGCCAACTTTTCATCGCGACAGAACTGAATTAACATTTCACCTCGTTCATTTCTATCACCTAGACCAAATGCCCCTGTTACACCCTCTACAACACCGCTGTCGACCTTTGCATTAAAATCACCCATTACCACATTGATATCTTGAGGTTTTAAGGACTGCAGAACATAAATGGACTTGCTCATAAAATTGTTCAACTTCAATCTATTTACCGTCCACTGAAGGTGCATTCGGTTGTACTATATTGATGTTAGTCGGTCTGGCACTTATTTGCAACAGTATTATTCGGTCTGAGTATGCTACGACATTCTTCATATATTTATCCATCTCTTTGGATGCAATAACGTCTACTCCATTTCTGTGATTTGGGTTGTTGTTTCCGGAGTAATAAAATGTTTTCCCATTCTTCCTACATGTTCCATAATTAGGCCATCTTGTCTCAGCTATACCAAGAATGTCAATATTCATTCTTTCCATCTCCTGAATTGCGTTGTCAAGTTTTCCTGCCGCAAAAAGACTTCGACTATTCCAGGTTCCAATTCGCTTTGGGTTCTTCATCATGTCAAGCCGGGGGATTCTTAGCACCCTCTGGTGATTTAACACCTGCCCGGGACTGAGGGCCGTTACTTTTGGTTTGCTTGCCATGATAAAGAGTGGGTGGACAAAGGAACGTCCGGGGGAAACTTGCTTGTCTTGTGGTCATCGTAGGTTCCCGTTACTTTCGACGGCATTGGGGATGACATTTCCATCATCCTCGATATAAGGTTATATCGATAAGTGTAATTTAATCAATATTGATTATATTTTCTTTTTGCAGAAAAGCAATTGTTTAGTAGAAATGTCAGGAATTAAATCAGACCGACGAGCGTCACCGGCAAGAAATGAAATCGGTTCATAAATGGATGTTAGGTATTCCAATAATTTAATTTGGACGCAATCGGTAACGGCCAACGCAAACGTCAAGTTTATAAATGTGCCTTTATCCTTTACTGCGTTAGCCAGTCACAAGTCTATGCGAACTTTATTTTGACTAGAGACATTTGAAATAAGCAAGTTGATACGTACTTCCGGTATAACCGGAAGTGTGCTCACATTGACAATATTTGAGATCGCTTGCCCCTACATGATTTCGATATACTGTTCAATTTTGAATTTCCTGTCGTATCTCATGCATAACTTTGTTAAATACAATGAAATATAATCCGTTTTATTTTCAGGGATTACGAGGAAAGACTGATCGATGAGGGAGAGTGCAGTCAAGAGGTCGGTTTATCTCCAGCGGAAAATCTGTTAATATCCACGGCAACCAAGTATACTACTCAAGCTACCATACACATACAATGTAAGAGTTTGAAATAATTTGCTATAAAAATAGCTTCAATTTGGATGTTTTAGCCCATCGTGCCTCTAATGTAGATGATCCTCTAGCTTTGACTGGTCTAGACGGTTCTGCCGTCGAAAGAAAGCCCGTGGATAGTAGTATGTTAGGAAAAGTAATTCAGCATAATAAGGGCCTAATAAATCTGAAAACCACCAATATCGAGGAGAGGGTTAGTTTTGATTATCTGTTAATAAGCTAGTCTTATTTTTAAGTTCCCATACAGTCAACAGCCATGATTATTTTAGCGGTAATTTGCTTAAATCTTGTTAATCTACCTCTTAGAGTTTGCTAATTTAATAGTTGTTATTAACTTCTCAATACGCGCTGCTCTGGAAGTTGTGTGTTATTCTTTGCTTTTATTAGAATACTATTTTCGAAAGTAAAGCTTTTGTTACGTAAAATAGTTTATATTTTTTCAGAAAGTGGATGAAAATGGTAACGCACTCCAACAAAAAGAAAAGAAAAAAAAGAAGCAAACAGATAAAAATGTTGTACTTATGAAGTCAGAACATGTAAGTTTTAGTATTTGAAGCATTACGCCGATAGTTTAATTTTAGTCTAGCTACTTAACTACATCATTTGTATGCTGATGGAAGTTGTCAATTGTAAAGCCACGTATTTCTCATCTTACCTACTTACGCAACGTCAACAGTATTATGCAATAATGATTGCTGAATTGAATCAATTTCAGATTCAAGGCCACAGGTCTGAAATTATAGACGATGTGGATGAATTACTCCACTACATCGAAGGCACCACTGACAACATGAAATCGCGTACCATTCAGTCAAAGTCTAAACAAGTACATAAGCAACATCCTCCGGACGACGCAGGTTCCAGAGTCGGCAAAAAAAAGCAATTCAAGTCCGTTTCAAAAGATAGCGATAACAATTTGGAGGCGGAAAGTAGGCACGAGCTGAAGGCAATACATTTTCTTAATAAGTGTGATTTAATCAATATTGATTATATTTTCTTTTTGCAGAAAAGCAATTCTCTAGTTGAAATTTCAGGAATGAAATCAGACCGAGAGTTTGAACGCTTTACTAATAACAAAAATAAACAGGAGAAGGATAAAGAAAACGTGGCGCTTAGAGGTAATAAACCAACAATTGATCGAAGTCGAGAGCGACGTTCTTGGGGAGACGTTGAGGTATACGGTTTCGATTAATTTAAATATTTATACTATAATAATTTATCTAAATTTAGCCCAGTTCCTTCCAAACTCTCTACAACGCATCCTCATTGGAACACTTGGAAACATCTGCTGATAACTGGGAAGTTACTAGACCAAAGAAAAAGAGTAAAAAGCGCCGGAACAGGTAAGAAAATCTGTCATATTAAAAAACGTGATTGGTGGCAATCGATTGATTCTTTGTTTATTTAGAGTTAGGCCTGGGTAATACTGTGTATTAAGACTATATGGCTCTAAGAGCCGTTTCACACGGGCCACACGGCAGCACTTCTGAGTGGCGCTGCTGAGAAGCGCCTTTTGAAGGTGCACGGGCGCGACCAAGTCCAAAGGATTACCGATTTAGCAGCGCTCCTGTGGCGTTCAGTGGTTGGCTACCGCTGAGAGCGAATCAGAAAGAAGCGTCACTGATAGCATATTTCAACATTGGTTTAAATGCTGTCGTTTACACGAGCCACTTCAGCCTGCTTCAGGTTAACGTGTGCATCTCAGCAGTGCCACCGAACCCGCGAACGAGAATGCTCAAAATACTTGTCTACTTGTCTGTCTTTTATTTATCTCGGTTCTATGGCTCGCATAGGATGCTGGTCGCAGATACCAGTGCAACGTCTGGGATTTCGATATTTCAATAAAGCAGAAAGGCTCGCCTGCCTTTTGATTACTACCAGAAGTACCAGTTTGCATGAAAAATCAGTCGGTTAAGAAGATAAAAAAACTAACTTAAATTGTTTTGTCAGGTCATAATTTATGGCTGACCCAGCAGCTTCGCAACGAATCACATATACTTGTGAGACAAATAGGCTTTACAAGAAGAAAATATACACTTCATGTATTCCTTTCATTAAAACAACGCAACCGGTGTCTGCCATTCTCTCCCTTCAGTGAAAGCAAAGAAAAAACATTGAACACCGCTTAAAAGCCAAGCTTGCGAACTTAGGAACCACTAGACATCACGAAACACAGCCGTCTTCTGTTTCCCAACATAAAAAGTGTGGCGCGCTGTGTCGCTGTATCAATACGGCAAGCCGTATGGGTGTCGCTGTGTGTACACTTGCAATTCAACTGTGTTACCCAGGCCTATTTAGTCTTTTCGCTCCTGATAGTTAAATTACGATATTAATTTCTTCCACTTAGTCTTAGCAGCGCGAGTGGGGCACGACAGAATTCATCTGCAAGTGGAGTGTCTTCTACTCGCAGCAATGAGGATCGAAGATCCCGACGAGCCCCCTCTCCTGATTTGGGAGTTGTGAGAGTTGGTAAGCTCATAATTTTGTTTTTAGTTATGTAAGGCTTACAGGGTAATTCAAAATTGACGTCATTTTTTTTAAGGAGTTTTGGGGGCTCACTTGGAGAGTATGACAAAATTATTGAAACACATTTTTTCCAAAATTTGTAGAACATATTAACAGTTGAAAATCTAATTTCAACTTTGTTATTTAGTATTATTTTGAAATAGTCCTATGTTGGATTGATAACCTATTGAATACTTAAACATTCGAAAAGAGAAATTACGATCTTTACTTCAAATTACAAAAAAAATAACACACCGGTACAAATTGAGCACGAGTTAATTAACCGAGTACCAGAATTTTTTGCTTTTGTTGGCATCAGTGGCATATTTAGGTATATTAGTCATCTGCTCCAGAAAGTTTACCAGCGCTGATAGCAAGTGACGTTAACGTAACCTCGAAATATTTGATTGCCACTTTCACTTTTTCGGTTTTGCGTCCCATGGTTACTACAGTTCTAAATAATTAAGAAGCAACTTGTATTTACGTAATGTCAATGAGGCAGATTACCTTGAGAAACAGTTGTTGTTGATTGTTGCCATCCTTCTGATCTTGTTTTGTTGCAAATACCTTAGTTTTTGTAAACACTATTTTTTTTAAATTAATTTTTCTGTACTCCAAAATACCCCCCAAGGAATGACGCCAATTTTGAATTACGCTGTTTACCTTATAAATGTCACTTTAATATACAGCGTGATTTCCGTAGACCGTGCAATAGAAGTTTTTCAACTCACCTTTGCTTTAGAAACTTCAAATTTTGTTTCCGCTCATAACGAGTCAGAGCGAAATCATGTAAGATACATTAGCCCTCTCGCTATCTAGGGTGTACAAAAACTATAACCTAACTTTATTATTTTAAATGCGAACCCCTATTTTCTTTAGCATGGTTGGATTGGCCTTCCAATTGCGAGTTTGGGTAATCTTAATTTTGTTAACTTATCTCTTATAGTTTTAGAGTTAATATACTTTAGAGAACTTATAGTATTATAATTTGAATAACTATAACGCAAATACGAGTAAAACAAATAAATCGCAGATGCGAGTGCCCTAATATACGAGTCTTTGAGAGACGAGCTGCCGAGTGAGCGATACATTTTGCTTTGAGATATATATGGATAGATATGAGATACAATGAATCGCGCATCTATCAGTTCACCCCACCTCAGTCTGTGGGCTTGTTTGCCTCGTTTTCGAAGCATTTTTGACACGTTGGGTTAGGGCCTTTCTGGAAGAGGATGGCGAATATGACTTACAGAACGGCAGAGGAAAAGACGAGGCCAGGTCACAAACCCATGAAGGATATATTAGCTCTAGCACTTTGCGCCAATGCGAGTGGCAACTGCAAAATCAAGCCTCTGCTTGTATATAATTCGGAAAATGTCAGAGCCTTTAAGTCACATAAGATTTTAAAAGAAAAACTGAAGGCATGGGCCACCAGGAACTTGTGGAGTAGATAAACCTGGTGTTTGGCCCTTCTGTTAAAAAAATATGTACAGGAAAACAACCTACCCATGCAAGCCCTTCTCGTCATCGACAATGCCCCTACTTACCCACCAAATCTCGAAGATAATTTACTCGAAGAGTTAAAGTTTATAAAGGTTCTCTATCTACCACCCAACACCACTCCTATCCTGCAGCCCATGGATCAGCAGATAATTTCTAATTTTAATACTTTCTACATCAAGCACATTTTTTGACGCTGATTTGAGGTGACGGAGAACATAAACATTACCCTTCGAAAGTTCTGGAAGGACTACTTTAACATCGTGATATACCTATGAATTATTGATCAGGCCTGGCTGGGTGTTACAACAAGGACCTTATGAGTTAAAAATTCAGTTTTTTTGAAAGGCACCAACAAACTTTTTTGGTCCTGTTTGAAAATTTTGCTAAGATTAAACAATAAGAAACTAAACTGAACAGGACCACAAAAGTTAGTAGGTGCCATTAAAAAAAACTTTTTTTACATTTTTTTGTCAAGGTTTGTAGGCTGCATGCACCCAGATTCTTCAAAATGGGTACTCTAGTGTCATTTGGGGAGTTAGGTTAGGCTTTCAGCTAAATACGTGCCAAATTTGGGTGTTGAATTTAGAACCGTTCCTTAAATATAACTTGTTCCGTAAACATCTGTAATGTCATTTTTTTTTAAATAATTGACATATCTAAAATACTATAAGAGATAAGTTAACAAAACTAAGATAACCCAAACTCGCAATTGAAAAATGAAACAAAAAAACAATCAATCCAACCATGCAGTTGGAAGTCACATCCAGTTACATCCATGTAAGTTGGAAACGTCTAATGCAGGGTCTACATAAATCACCCTGTATATTCAAAATAAACATCTTCTTAGGTGTGTCAAATGCCAAGATAACCAGGTCGATGCCACACAGTGAGAAGAGTAATGATTCTTCTTCTGATGTGGATTCTGTTCGTTCATTGCCTTTAGATGGACCGATTTCTTATGCAGATATAGGTAAGTTGTAATGAACTTTTTGAATTTTTTGAACAAAATTAAATGTTGTATTTAACTAGCTAAAAATATTGAAAAAAAGAAGCCAAGTCCTGAGAAACAAGAACGTGCTGTGCTTATCAACAAAGACAAAAATTCACAATCCCAGAAATCAGTTGAAGCAGATTTAAGAAACTCTTCATCTTCCTATGTGCCTCCTCAGGTCTCAGTTCCTGTTGAAAAGTCACCAGCTGCACCCATTAAAGATAGTTTAAGTAGAAGTAATTCTATAACGAAAACCACTGTACCCGATGTTCACAACATTAAAAGCTTTCCGGCCATTACCGAAAGTGCAACAAAGATGTCGAATATTCCAGTAACAACTATTGCGAATCCACAACCGCAAAGTATTACCACATGTGATAAGGCTGTGCAATCGAATTTAAGTTATGATGATAGTTTTGTGCGAGAAGTACCACCTTCCAGTTTGCAGAAAACGACCAGCATGCAAAATTTGCAAACTGAATTACATTCAAGTGCCGTACAATGTGTTAAGACACATGCATCCAGTACTATTAAACGGCATAACCCGCATAACAGTGCTACGAAAGACAGGCGGAGTAAAGGAATGGCAAGGGACAATAGCGTATCGCAGCCTGTTGTACATGGTGATGATTATAACGAATTACCGGTGAGTTTAAATTTTATTTTGTTGCTAGAATGCAGAATATTTTTTACAGAAAATCAGAATGTCGCTGGGTGGTGAAAAAAGAATACAACCAATTATCAAAATTAAAGTTTTGTTTTTTCTAGAGAAATATGTTCCTTACTGAACATTGAACAAAGTTATACATTAATAACTTGATAACGTGGTATTTTTAAGTTTCAAAATAACAGGAAAAAAAGACTGTTCTTACCATTCAAAAAACTACCATCTAGCTTCTTAGGGAAAATTACGGAACAACACCTACATTTTAAATTACAGTTCATTATTGAAACAACTTGAAATGCAGGGTGTCCCGTAAGCACATGGTCAAAAAGGTACTGCGATATTCTTTGGATAAAAAGAAGACGATCTGACCCAACTTTTACTAAGAAAATTTTATAGCACCTGTGCTACTGATGGTCAAAGTTCTTTAAAAAAATATATGTTTTTGAAGTATCGGGTGATTGGTATGATGGATTTTACTGAAACTCACTGTGCATTTGTTCCTATCTAAGGCTCATATTTTGATGAAGCAATCGAGTTCATCCGCTTTGGGCCGCCGCTTATTGTACTTTTCTCACCATTACAGGATAGACCGAAAATAGAATCCTGTGATTGGTTGTCTTTGCGGCGTCAAGTGCGCAATAATAATAACGCTTATAGCCTTACTTCGAAATATTTTAAACTTATCAACAAATAGTTGGACGACGGCACAACTGACTGCATAGAGCTGTGGTATTTTATATTTTTTGTTTTGTCTGTCTCTCTAGCTCTGAGAAAGACCCAATTAAAGGGTCGGAACTTTGGCCATTTTTTGAGTATAAAAGGAGTTTTTAATCCAGTCCCAAACGCGCTATCCAAGCATTCTTATTTATTGCTTTTTTTATCTTTTGTCAATTTCCTTTAAGTACTAACATATTTGCAGATTTAATTTTTTTCTAGGCGTAGTAGTAATACATTCAGTAAAAAAGTCTAAATACATCAGTTATTTCTCAACATTTTTTCTAAGTTTGCTATTTTATTTACGTTTAACTAGTTAAAAATCATAAAAGTAAATGTTGATAGACTTGTTAGAAGTACATAATAAAATTAATAGTAAAGTCATTTGAAACACATTTGATCAATAAAATATAAAATGATATTTTGAACGAGAAATAATATAAAAGTCTCCATACACTAACATTGTTTTTGAAAAATTGTTGCTTTTTTTAAGTCTAATATTTTGTATAGTTGCCATTGGCTCTAGTGATGGCAGCAAGCCTTTTCGGATGACTTAAAGTTTTCTTGAAGCTTATCCTGGGATACTTTCCCATTCTTGTATTTTCCTATTTTTGCGCTCTTCCTTATTTCTTGGACTTGGTGCTTTCCCACCCGACGCTTTAACTCTTCCCACATATGTTCTATTGTGTTAATGTCCGGTGATTGCGATGGTGTATGAAGTTTTTGGCGGACATTATGTATCATCCATTGACGTACAAGCATAGCAGTGTGCTTAAAATCGTTATCTTGTTGAAATAAATATCGCCCTCCAAGGTTAAGTTTTTGAACACTTGATGGCAAATTATTCCTTATAATATTTAAAAAGGCATGTTGATGTAAATTGCCTGTTCCTTGGTTGTGTTGGCCTGTTCCTGACATGCACCCCCCATAATAAAACCTTACATCCTCCGTGCTTCATTTTAGGGCAAATACTACAATTTTATTTTATTATAAATTAGTTTCATCAATAATTCTTATGTCTTTTCTGTCTAATTTTTTTATTTTAAAATTCTGATGAGATGGTCCTATTTCACTCTGTCGAAAGCCTTGTTGTAGTCTATGCATATGTGCAGATAGTGATCTACGTCCATCCATCGTGCGAATATATTTAAAGCGTTTAATGTTTTCCTTCATCCAGAACTTTCTCGAAAACCAAGCTGCGTCTCGCTGATATATTGTTCCAATTTCCTATCATTCTGTTTTGTATTATTTTCAGAAATGCTTTCAAGGTATGACTCATGAGACTTAGGCCGGTATGTTCCCTTTTTCTACTTCTTCACACTTCTCTCTGTATCACTCCTTTTTGGCTTGCCTTATCTGTTTGCGAATTGTTTTTTGGATATCGTTGTATGCTTTTTTTTCGTGCTTGAGTCTCCTGCGTCAGTTCAAGTATAGTAGGAGTCATCCATTCTTGTTTTTGGGAGCGGGTTTTCTTTGCCAGAATTGTTTCGCTTGGTTCGGTTAGGGACGATTTAAAAGCGGGGGGACCATTTGTTGTTAATGTGACATTTTTTGTTATTTGGAATGTCTATCTCTGGTGCGGTGATTCAGATTCTCATTGACTTTGTTCTTAATTTCTTGTCTTGTTTCAGTATTATTGAGGAGAATGAGATGAGAGGCTTTCTTTTCTTAAGTGTTTGGTTTTTTTTCAGTTTAATGTTGAGTTTAGGCACTACAGGATTATGGTCGGATGAAACTCGTGGGTAGGTTTTTACCGACTATGCTTTTTGTACCGATCATTTATTAATATATGATCTATATGGTTTCTGATAAGATTATTAGGGTTATCTTGTGTGGATTTCCATGTATAAAGTCGTCGGTTTGGAAGCTTATAGATAGTGTTTGTTATAATTAGATCATCTTATTGACTTAATTTGAAGTAGTCTATCTCCCCTCTCATTTCCCATTCTCCAACGTATTTTCCAGCTTTGCCATTTCCCATTTTGGCGTCACCTAACACCAAAGTGATATTTCTGTGTTTCATCGCCTGCAAAATATTGTCTCTTCAAGCTCTTCATAAAAAAGTACCATAACGGAAGCATGAACTCGGATGCTTCATCAAAACATGAGTCTTACATAGGAACAAGTTCACAGCGAGTTTCATTGAAATCGAGATCGTACCATTCTCCCGATATTTCAAAAAAACGTTTTTTTGAAAAGAACTTTGACAATCAATAGCAGAGGAACATTTTTTTCTTAATAATACTTAGTTAATAAGAGAGTCATATAGTCTTCACTTAAGCCAAAGAATGTCTCAGGCGGGTATACATAGTCAATCTGAACTGATTCGCCGTGATGTCGGCGTCATAGATGAACACAGGAACATTGTTGCCAAGATTTGGGTAAAGAACGTCGCAGCAAAAAGTCACCCAAATCGCAAAACGTTGACGAACTTTTATGGCTCATTTTGCGCATATCGCAAATTGTACATTTGAAACACATTTGAACAGGTTTGATTGCCTAATTTACGATTTATCGCCCAACTCGCAGCACTGGCAGAAGAATATCAGTTGGCCGAGATAAAATATTATCACAATCGTTCGTTTGCCGATCTTAAGCAAGCTCAATTAGGTGTTTCTTGGCGAAATGTTGGAGATGGTCGGTCTTACCCATCTCCGACAACTCGCCAAGTAAATACTTTTAGGAAGTTGGGCTACAAGTGTTTTTAAGATATTAAATATGGATCGAGATCTCGAACTGTTGTATACTGTACATAGAAATATTTTGGATGATGAATTAGATGGTTTGCGCCGTTGGTTTGCTGCCGGCGCACTCTTCCTTATGCCGACAGATGTTATCGGCGAATCGCTTACGATCGACTTTGTATACGGGGGTCCTTTTGAGTGCTTACAGGACACCCTGTAAAACTAAAAATCTACAATTGAGATCAGATCGTAAAAGTATGTGCATGGATTTGTGTGGTGCTAAAAGTTTTATCATCAAAGCGTCAATTGCCTGAATCAACCACTGTGCCATATGATATAAACTTTATTGACCACCTGGTACTTTAAAAAAATATTCTACCACATAACTGCTTTATGGCGTTGGTTCTGGTTTTTGTTGTCAAGCTTGAGTCTCGAACAGATTACTCACTTTGCAGCTTGTGTTATGTTTGCTGCTTTGGGCTGAATCATGCTTTGCAAATTAGATTAACTTTGTTTTACTGCAAAGTACAAGGTGCGGCATAAGAACTGTATTTTTCAAGGGGAATAGGCTTAGGGTGAGTAGTACCGAGTGTGCGAAACATTACAATAGAAAGAGAAGGGGGGGGAGTTTGTTATGAAGCCGTTTTCAGTCGTAAAAATGCTTTGGTCCAATCAGCAATCACCTTTTGCCGTCGCAACGTTCTTTTCAAAAGGAAAATCAATTGTAGCGGTAGAACGAGCATTTCGTTTACGCTACAATAAACCTTCTCGGGGTGGTGTTCCTACTCGAGCGTCAATTTTATCATGGGTGTTTAGGACACAGGGCAGTGTACCCTCACGAAAATCATGACGATTACCGTTAGAACGCCTGCAAAGATTGAAACAGTGCGATGATTAATATTATTCACTGAGACGTTCTTGTCGAAAACATGCATCGGTTCTTCGCTTATCAGACCGTTCCATGAGAAGAAGTCTCCATAGTGATCTTCACTTTCACCCCTATCAAATGGTTCTTATACAGGAACTTTCCGAAGGTGATTATTTGGTTCGACAAAGGTCATCATTTCAAACAGAGGTGACATGCCATGGCCCACGCACTCAGCTGATTTGGCTCCCTGCGATTATTTTCTGTGGGATACTTGCTTGTGTATGGAAACCGTCCCGCAACCGTGGACGATTTAGGGCGGGTATTATACTGTACGGTTGAGATTCAACCCACGATTGGAGGCCTGTTTGGGTATTATAAACGCTAACCGGCGGTTGAAATGCCAGTTCAGTGACGGTTTACTCAATCCGAAGGCGGAGTTCGAGATTTTAACCGGGAGTTCGAAGCAGGTAGAAACAACGATCAAACAATTTTTTGCAACAGCAAATTGGAGAATCGATTCGTAAGAAGAGAATCTGACAACTTCGTACTTCTTGAAGATTCCGAATATGCTTTAAAAAGTATATTATATCATCACGCCATTTACAGATCCACAGAGAGAAGCAGAAAACATATTTAATGAATCTCAAATTAGAACGCAAAATCCCATTGAGCGATTGTCCGGTATTCTAAAACGACGGTTTCCTGTACTATCTCTTGGTGTGAGAGTGTCTCTAGATGCAAGAAAATCGGCCATTATAGCATGTGCAATATTGCATAACATAGCGCAAAACATGAACGATCCAGGTCCAACTCCAGACCCCAATTTCCAGTTTGATGCAGAATAAATGCCTCAAGAAAATAATGGTCCTTTAAATAGCAATAATAGTGCTATGAGTAACAATCATAGCGAACAGTCAACTCCCGGTTGACGAACCCGAGGCTCAATAGTTTTTATAATACACAAATGAAGTCAATAATAATGTATACTGAGTTTTCTTATTGACTTAAAAAAAAACAGTTCTTATGCCGCGTCCTGAATATTAACTTTGACGTGTACGTTCAGAACTTTTATGGTAATCACTCGAAGACAGCAATTTTTTTACGCTCTAGATCTAGGAAAATTACTAATTTTTAATCGGTATATTAGCGTGTAAACTTGCCTTATCAATGTACAAAGTAATTCCCAGTTTTGATAAATCCAGCCTATCAATGCTAATCAACGATGCTAATGGTCGCGATTTTTAGTTAGGAATCTGCCACTTTACATTATTCATGTTCATTGTTTTCACTTCAACACGACTGTATAATAAAAGAAAGGGATCAATATTTCAAATGATAACATTTTCACTAAATCATTTCCAATTCGATCGGTTGTTGAAAAAGGTGACGACACATTTTACACACACGATTATTCCACTCGAAAATTCGGTTCATTATTTTGATTGAAGTATCACCATTTCATCCGGTTACTGTTGAAATAAGTAGTTTGGTGTTACAATTAAGTAGATATTTTGATTTGACTACGAACGGTGTCTTGATGCGATGTTCTTTTTAGCCATTGATTCGGTTATTGCCGTAAAGAACAACGTTTGGAGTTCTCAATATTTTTCAAGTCTTGCGTCAATGGCCTAACTTAATAAATCATCTAGTTTTATTGATTTCTTTCTATTTATTGTCGAACTGTTGTTTTCAATCTACTTCGCAAACAGAGACACACACAAACCACAACCAAGGTCCCAACATGCATCCATTAATCATATGAACCCACCCACTCAACCTTATTCCAGTTCTTTTCGCAGCTTCTGAAGGATCCCACACATTACATCTCGCAGCGCATGCCTCCTGATATTATGGACGTGTCTACAATTGAGAAATTGCAGCTTTTGAATTATTCCGATAGTGGCACCGCATCCAAATCCTCAAATGTAAGCAAACTTACTTTGATATTGTACTAGTTTAAAATGGCATTGGGTTATGTTGAATTATAAATATGTGGTGTGGTTATGATTGTTTTGATCAATTTACCGAATTATAGCGGTCCATCTTTGAGAGTTTACAATAGTATTACAAGTATTTGTCAAACCAAAATCACCAGAGTTCTGAAAATTTCAATACAAGGTTTATGATGTTGGGGCTAACCCAGTTATACACGAAGTAGGTACTAAACGAAGTAGGAAGGGAAAACTTACTTGCTTATTTTAAATGGAACACCCTGTATATTACATTTTTTGATTATTTGTCGGATTTTTAGGTCATTTTGCTTATGATGGTCGGGGAGGGTATGGACAGCGTTCGATAAAAGTTCTTATTACATTTAGAAATGTTTTCCGGGCTTTGAAGCCGTGGTCTATCGGAATTTCTTCCTGACGTTTCGTGCACAACTGCGGTGGACATTTTCAAAGGCGATGAGGCAGTGGGCGAAGTGATCTCCCGTGCTTTCCGACTAAGACTGATTCAACTGAACATTTTTTTTCCGTCTTGAACATTATTTATTTCAGACAAATTTTTTACAAATTTCTTACTGCT